AGATTAATATGTGTATAGAAGATACATTAAACATATTATTCATTTTCCGTCATATATGTAACGAAACCTCGGTTGATGTGTTTCATGAAAGATGAAACTTTAAAAGTCGACCGTGTAGTGGACACGGTTTGATTTGATAACAATGATTAATATGTAAGTACATTACGTGTTGTAATTACATAATGAAACTCTATAAAATAGTGCAGCAGCGAGACCGCTCAGTCAAGTGGCTTCAATAATAGGGAAAGTGCACCAGTATTGGCCGTAGGTTCCTATTTTGGCCACTTATCAGAAAACCGATTAAATTACAATATTCGTGCATTTTGTGGTCGAAATTTTTATGTACACCGATTAATATGATTTATACCAACAAACGCAACTGAACATAAAACTGAAGCCGAAGAGATCACTAGGGTCAATGGGTCATTACTAAGACAGCAGCATATTTCCTCGATCTTGAATCTCGTTCTGCGACACGTTCAAAGTCATCACAATTTGTATATGTATTTACAGAGTTCTTTTCATACTTCTTTTAAAATAAATTAGAAATTCTCTTAGAAAGTCATTGAAAATTTCTCTATAACTCTCCAGATTATTCCAGAATAAATCATAAAATATGTCCTTAGAATCTCTTTAAATTTAGGCTATTTCTAAGAAGCTTTAATTTTTTTTTAAATCACTTGAATTCTCCATAGAGTTCTCATGCTATTCACCTCAGAATTATCGAATAATTTAAAAAGGCTTTTTGTGAGCAAAGCAGGAACAATTTTCCTGTGGAGAATTTTGCACAGAATTACGTTCGAGTACTTTCTGAATAATTAGGAAATTGCTTAAAACTCTCTAGAAATTCTTTTCAAAATGCGCTTGGAATTATCTTCGGAATTTCCGTACAGACCTTTGCAGAATTGCTTTGGAATTGTCCCCTTCTGTATTCGATTCACTTGATATTTTTCGGTATCCTCTTTTGGAACGTTATAGAATTTTCCAGGCAGTTACTATTTTTTTACTCTTAACTCACTCAATTGGCTAGGCTAGTTCTAGTCAAAACTTTCTTACAGTTTTTCCTAAAATTCCCAAGAAAATATTCGTTGAAATATGTTGAATGCAAAAGCAAATATCCCAATAAACTAATGGGATTCATAATGCAGCCTTCAGTAGAGTTGTTACTTATTTGTTGAACTACAAGTTTTGAAAATCAAATCGAGAATATGGAAACTTTTTTATGAGCGAATTAGTAAAAGGGTGTCATTTTTTCATATATTTTAACCAAAATCCCCATACATAATTCAAACTAAAAGCGCCAGCTCATCTTACAACAAAGTATGCTGAAACTTCCAAAGAGTAGTTTTCTCACCCGAAAGCACAAACCTAGGGGTTGGCCCGGAAACAATGTAATTAATTATAACGAAGGTTGATAATTCAGGCCTACTGGAATGACAGCGTTCAGACTTTTTCAATTGGCTAGGTGCAAATAGACCCTTAAAATTCCACCCAAACGATTTCTGTCAACCATTTATAAACTGCATGAAGAGGTTAAATGCTATGGAAGTTGAAGTTTATAAACTATCATTTGTGGGTGTTGTGTAGGCATAGAATGACAAATTTTCCTACCGAAAACTATCCTTGCACAGCTAGATTGTGGTAATGCTGCTAGGGGGCTACGCAAAAGTACAGTCAACTATTTCTAACTGGATACTTAAGGAATACCAGAGCTATCGGATATTATATGAAAGAATTAGAAAATGATGATTAGAAAAAAATTTATGGGAAAATTGGTTGAAGCAACCTGGATTTCTATCGCGTTAGAAAGAGTTGACTGTATAAACAATCTGTGTGCACACGTATGGGGCACGGAACTCGACGCTGTGTCATAATTTTCTTTAATTTTTTTCTTGTCTCAAGAGGGAGGAGGAAAGTTTGTCGAGAAATAGAAAATACCTACACCGATACAAATAGAAGATAAAAATCTGCTCGTGTCTACACAATGAGGAAACTTTTTAACTCTTTCGTAATTTATTTAACTTGCAAGTTAGTCGTTGACACCTTTCTCACCTGTTTTCTGTTGTATGAAACTGACTCAAAAGTTGATGCCTGTTACGGTGAGCGTATGCAAGTATAACTTGAACGCAGTAGCTTGGCCTCGGCCTGTTGAGGAGGCTGGTCCGCCTTGGTTGTCACACATCACGAGGGGTGAAACATGTAACATCACAAACTAATAGCGAATTCGTTTATTATTCAGTTCCAACCTGGATCGGGTATCAAGATTGGGTCTGCTTGTTTTCTAGCAAACGTCAGTTTGATCGTTTGTTTTTAAAACCTGGCACGGGTCGAGGTTCGCACTGACAAAAAGTTCGGGTTCGCACGGGTTGGAACTGGTTCCAACCCCGATAATAAACGAATTCGCTATAAGTTATCGGATAAAAAACACTATGCGTTATTTTTAGGCATTTTGTGGGTTACAGTTTAAAATTTCAATCTGTAGTTTTATTTTGGCTTGACACCAGTTTTTCATAGTTACATACCGCAGCATTGTATTCTAGAACAATCATTTCACTTTTTGCCAACCGAGAAGAAATCATGCATCAAAAGGCTCCTTTGCTTAGGGTTTGATGATAATCGATTCAACGAGATAAGGCATAACCAGCCTTGGGCGAAATCAGTCACCCAATTCCTCTTCAAAGGTAAAAGCACGCTTCACTGACAATGAATTGCAGCATATTGATTTGCCACATAAACACCGGTTTTATTTATTCTCTTTGGTACAGCTAGAGTGACTTAACACTATTATACGAAGAACTCACTCAAACACTATGTATAAGGGCGATTTCATAAACTAAATACACGTCCTCACATTGGCACCCGAAAGATTTTCAACCGGACCGAAAATCCAACAACGAAATTAATTTAAGACATAATACATTGTAACGAGGTTACAAAAGTATCCCACCTATTATATGCACAATATGGCATCACTTATAATAAACCGTTCTTGGCCGCTAAGTTCATTTGCGTTTGGTAACTTAGGGCACATCTGTCAAACAGATTGAAAATGGGAGTTTGGTTAGCCCACCGGATAAATACGTCCGAGTCCGAGCCGAATCAACGAATGCCCTAGGGTATTGTAGCTCCTTAAAGGGTAGAGTCATTATTGTTCCAGATGCGAACTCCAAAACCTTTCCAACCACGAAACAGTGAGCACGGTGATCAGTAGAACAAGTTCAAGTAGCTATTAAATCAAACAAGATGACGGTTAGACAGTGAGACATACCAGGCAGTTAAAGTGACGTAAAATAAATATAAGCGGAGGTTTGTAACATGGAAAATTAGGTTAAACAAGGACAGTAACAGTGGTAGTACTTACAGAGCTGTAGATTTTATAAATAGCTGCAGGAATACTAGCACCATCGTTGTGTAAGGTTTCACCATACTTTTTATTAATTATATATAAATTAAAACTTTACAAAAACTACAGATTCTGTAACATTAACACAGTAACACGCTACAACTCGTTTGAAGGAAAATCCTTCAACCGAAGGTCCTACCCTTACACGGTAACTATAAAATACTCAATAATGACTACAAAGTAAGCATTTTTGAGGGCTACTGGGACTACCCATTAAATTAGTAAATGTTAATGAGTAATTTCAACTACAAAAATAAGTAGAAAGTATTCATTTGTGAATAACAAATCAACCTGAACATTGCATTAGGTCCTAGGTAACATTAACAGATTCTCTTCGTCATTCGTCGTCGTCGAAACATTCCCAGGTATTTTCAGCACATAGATCGATAAAATAAGCTTTTATCTAGCATCTAATATGACAAACACAACAAGAAACGGTTATGTGCTCAAGTTATTAACGAAAGAGACAGTCGACGAAGAGAATCGTTCAATGTTACTTAGGACCTAATTCAATGTTCAGCTTGAAATACTCATAAATGGGTAATTTTTTTACTCATTTAATGGGTAGTCCCAGTCTCCCTCGAAAATGCTTACTTTGTAGTCAATATCGAGTCTTTTATAATCATTATTGGGTACTATGCGGTTACCGTGTAGGTCGTAGATCCTAACCCTCGGTGTTGTGTGTTGCACGTGTCGACTTCCGACGTGCATACACGCTCAAAAGCGCTTTGTCGGCCTAGTTGGTCGAATAAAACCCTGCCAACTCTTTGTCACCGCACCAATCCGGCGTAGTCTAAAAGCTCCTTGCTGCGAGTTCGTCGACCAACATCAGTATCGCCATCTTGTGTCACAACAAAAGTGATTAGAAAAGGTTTCTGCTACACCTACTCGTCACCAACGCCGCAGGTACGACCAGCATGCAAAAACGCGCGCAATGAAACATGAATTGACATGAATTGGTTGTCATAGAGTCCCTAAATGCGCATTGCAAGCAATATCCAAGTACAGATCAACACGGATTCATAACTGGGCGTTCCACAACTACGAACCTGCTGTGCCTAACGTCTTACATCACAGACAGTTTGATTGCTCGGACCTAAACGGACGTTATCTACACAGATCTTACGGCAGCCTTCGATAAGCTGAACCACGAAATTGCGATCGCTAATCTTGATAGGCTAGGGATCGGTGGAAATCTTTTGAGATGGTTTCGTTCATACCTCACGGAGCGCCAATTGACAGTAACTTTGGGTACTTGTCGCTCAGCAAGCTTCTGCGCAAAGTCCGGTATACCTCAGGGCAGCCATCCGGGACCATTGGTATTTCTCCTCTACTTCGACGACGTTCACCATGTTATCACAGAGCAACGATTATCGTTTGCAGACGATCTGAAAGTTTTTCTGCGCATCCGCTCACTTGCCGACTGCCGTTCTCTCCAAAATCAGATTGACATCTTTGCTGACTGGTGTAGTCTAAACCGACTGGTGGTCAACCCAGCTAAGTGTACAGTTCCCGAATAGAAATTTACATTAGCCCAACGTTTGATTTTGATGTCTACATCAGCATCGAAATCAAATGTATGCCTGATGTCAAACATTAGAAAACATTATGATTTAGTTGTATTTAAGCAACGTAACATGGTGTATACATCAGAAATTTTGGAACAAAATTTTGCCATTCTAATGTCGGTCTGACGTCAAAAATTTCAATCTCTTGACATTAGAACCAAACGTTTTAAGGATGTTTTCTGATGTACATTACGTTAGAACTAAACGTTGTTCGGATGTTTTTATATGTAAACGTTTTCTGATGTTTTCTAATGTAGATGTTTCCCGATGTTAGAACCAAACGTTTTCGGATGTTCTCGGATGTAAAAAACGTTAGAACTAAACGTTGTTTAAATGTTTTTATATGTAAATGTTTTCTGATGTTTTTTAATGTAGAAGTTTCCTGATGTTAGAACCAAACGTTTTTGGATGTTTTCGGATGTAAAAAACGTTAGAACTAAACGTTGTTCGGATGTTTTTATATGTAAATGTATTCTAATGTTTTCTTATGTAGATGTTTCCCGATGCTAGAACCAAACGTTTTTTGGATGTTTTCGGATGTACACAACGTTAGAACTAAACGTTGTTCGGATGTTTTCAATTGTACTTCCTGTTTGTTGTTCTCTGATGTTTTCAGATGTACAAAACGTTTAAAGTAAACGTTGTTTGAATGTTTTAAAATGTAGATGTTTACTTATGTTTTAAGTAGTATAACCACTAGAATCTTACTTTTCAAATGCTTTCAATTATATTTACAACACATTAGAATTAGTAACATAATCGTGTAAACACTACACACCATTGTTGTTAGATAACATCATAAAAATGCGTACATAACTGTCAATGCTGAAGCTCCCGTTTCCCACCAGTCAGTTAACTGACCTTAGCTAACCTAATGTCATTGCGGCAACTCTCTATGCGGCAGGGGAACTATGCCATTAGCGCGCTAAGAGTTATTAGACCACTGACATAGGCGCCAATTTGTAGGTGACGAGGCACTAGGTGACGTTACAGCGAGCTTGACGATTGTTGTATCATTTTTGAACGAACTACCAGACAAAGATGCCTAGTGTTTACATAATCAAGTTTCCAAATCTACAGGGCCACCCACATTAGATCCGGATCTGGCGCGATGCAGCAAAGTGACAGCTAAATATATTGTCTAACTATAAAATTTACGACAACGCAACGCAAGCAGATCTAATGTGGGTTACCCTTAAGGCCTGTGGAAGAGTGAAAACTGGTGGCCGCGTGAAACTTTAGGGAAATTCCCCAATAATTTGCAAAATTTAGCAAAACACAAATGCTCCGTCCATGTGTCGAACCACAAACGAAACTCGTCAGTTGGTGGGGATTGATGACTTCCTTGGTTGCTTTGGTGGTGTCATGCCTTCCTTCGAAAAGAAGCACAGCCGTGGATCCTGGCCCTTGAGTTGATGAGTCCAGGTCTAGGTGTTCAATTGCCTCCCTAGCGTAAGTGGTTGCCACTCGGTTGCAGAACATAGAACGATAGAAAATAAACAAGAAAACAAAGCCAAATTGAAGATTAATCCAGGGATTTTGCAATAAATATTTAGATGAGCTAAGACTAGAGAATGCTAGAGAAACTGAAAGACTATCAAAGCAAACTATGCACCTAGATCCAAATCTTTTCAGAAAACTTATCAATACGCATAGTTTGAACCGATGTATAAACATCATGCAGACATTGTTGTCTTTGAAATGTCTACGAGCCAGGTAAAGGGCCGAACCCAATGACACCAGGACAGCGGCATAGCGGTATAGGGGTAAATGTACATTTTAAGGTTAGTTAGAAGAACTACTAGGACTTCAGGGTAGTTCCATAGAGGTAACTCTAAGACCACTGGGTCCCGAAGAAAATCATTATTATTTTTGGCTCACTCAGTACCAGAACAACGGTCCCAAGCAGTCCCAAGCTATTTCACTCACCCCTGCATGTTCTGCATGAATCCACACACCCCTGATATTATCTGTCAAACTTTCATAGCGAATCAAAACAAACATAGTGTAGTAATAGAATTTCAACTAGAATAGGGTACGTTAATCGTTTGCTTGGGACCAATAGGCTACTAAAGTGGTGAGCCAATTTAAAATCGTTAGTTTCGTATTGATTGTTGGTAGTTCTATAAACATCAGAAAAATACCAGATTTAATTTAATTTAAGTTAATAATTATTCTGAAGACCTACAACTGAACAGAAATTCAAACGATGTCCTTTTGATATTCTTTGAATAGTTTAAATTGATCAGGTATTATTCTGAGAACCTACAACTGATCAATAAATCAATCGAAACTTTTCGGATATTACTACAAGAGATCAAAATAAGCAGGAATTGTTTTGAAGACCTACAACTGATCAGAAATTCAAATAAAGTAATTTAGAAAATATTCGAAGTGGTCAGGTTGATAAGGATTAGAAATTAAAATCTTGAGATATTTTTAGAAGAGGTCAAGTTGATCAGGAATTATTCTGAGGACCAACATCTGATAAAAAATCGAATTGAAGTCGTTTGAAAATTTCTTCAGAACGTAGAATAATCGGAAATTGTTATGAAGATCTTACTACACCGAAGGTCGTAGATCTTCAGAGAAACTAGCAGAACTTTAGGGAAATTAAAAAAAAAAAACTTCAGAGAAGTTTTAAAAAACTGAAATCTTTAGAGAAATCAAAAGAAAATCAGGGAAGTTCGTAGATCTTCTGAGTAATTTACAGCACTACAGTAATGTTTGTCGTCGTTTCGAGAAATAATCACTACTTTATGGATGTTCACAGATCTTCAGGGAAGTTTGAAGATCTTCAGAGAAATTAACAGAACTACAGTGATGTTCGTAAATTTATAGATAATTTTTTAGTTCCTAAGGGAAATTTATAGAACAGAATTTCAGAGAAGTTCGCAGAACTTTAGATAAACTCACAGAACTTCAGGGAAGATCACATAAATTTAAAGATCCTCGTACATCTGAGAGTTATTTTCAGTACTTCAGGGCAGTTCACAGAGCTTTAGGCAAATTGGCAGAACGTCAGGGAAAAATACTGAATTTCAGGGAAGATTGTTGATCCTCAGAGAAATTTGCAGAACTTAAAGGAGGTCTTCAGATAAATTTTTATTGCTTCAGAAAAAAATTGCAGAAATTCAGGAAAGTTTTGTAGACTTTTAGAGAAATTTTTAATATTTTAATGCTTCAGGGTAGTTCGAAGATTTTCAGAGAAATTCACAGACCTTCAGGGAGAAGAATAAATGTAAATGGTATTGAAAATTTGATTTGTGAGAAATTGGATAATATGAAAAGTTCATTTTTTAAAATTGATGCGGAAAACCAATTAGCTGTAAAGAATGATCCGTGCAGTTCATCTAGGACGATTCAGTCGGAATCGGACAAAAATACCAGACGCAAAAAACGTAAATTAGTAATTAGTAATAGTGATCATGATGATGATGTTGTTTTTCAAGAAAATGCGAGTTTTGCGGATGTTGTAAAAAGACATAGTCGTATTAGTCAAAGTAAAACTAATAGTAACAGTAATAGTAAAAGTAACAAACCAGAAAATCGTAAGACTCGTCCAGTCATTGTGATTAAACCGAAAGAGTCCAAACAACCTTGCGAAGATACTCGTAAGTTTTTAAAAACTCAGTTGGATCCAAAAACACACAAAATCAGTAATTTTAGGAATGGTAAAGATGGCTCCATTATTGTTGAGTGTGCAACAGGAGCAAACGTAAGTGATGTGAAAAATGGTATTGAAAGCAATCTGGGTGAAAAATATAGTGCTGTTGTTCCCACTTCGGTGCCAAGATTGAAAATAGTGGGCATGAGCGATCAGTTTTCCTCCGATGTCTTTATTGACTACTTAAAAAGTCAAAATGAAGACATCGCTATTAATGATGTAAAAGTAGTGAACATGTTTGAAAATCCACGCTTCACTTATAACAAGTTTAGTGTTGTAATTGAAGTCGATGTCGAAACTTATAAATGTTTGTTATGTGCGAAAAAAGTAAATGTAGGGTTTGATCGGTGCTCGATAGTTCCCGCGATTAATGTGCTGAGATGCTTCAAATGTGGAGAATTTGGGCACAAGAGCATGGATTGCAAAAATTGTGATAGATGCTCTAGGTGCAGCCAACAACACAAAACGTCGGAGTGTACGTCAACTGTATTGAAATGTATTAATTGTTTGAAAATGAATAAAGAACGAAAAATGAACTTGGACGTCAACCATGCCGCATTTAGCTCGGAATGTTTGCTCTATAAAAGACTTTTTGATCAGAAGAAAAGCAGCTTGCGTTTCAATAAATAGCAGCCAAGTTCCAGGAATGTGAATCAATTCGATTTTTTATATTTGAATATTGCGGGGTTGTCAACAAACTACGTAGCATTACGTCAGATTGTTGAGGAAAAACGTCCTCTTTTAGTTTTCTTATCTGAAACTCATATTGTAGAAACTGAAGCTTTTGATCAGTATAGTATTCCGGGATATATTGTTGCTGCTTGTTTATCACATTCTAGACACACTGGCGGTGTTGCTATTTATGTCAAAGAATCAGTTCAATTCAACCTTCGTACCAACGAAGTTATTGATGGCAACTGGTTCTTGGGCATTACAGTTGTACGTGGCATGAAGATGGGTAATTATGGTGTTTTGTATCATTCTCCCAGTTCTAGTGACCAGCGTTTTGTTGAAGTTTTAGAGAACTGGCTGGAGACATTCCTTGATTCTAGTAAATTAAATATATTGGCTGGTGATTTTAATATTAATTGGCGTGATAACCATAATTCGAATCATTTGAAGCATTTAGCTGAGTTTTTTAATTTAAAGCAAACGGTAAATGAATATACGCGTATTTCCAGGCACAGTAGAACTTTAATTGACCACGTTTATTCCAATTTTGATTCCATTTGTTCAGTTACGGATACTGATTTGAAAATAACCGATCATGAGACTTTAGTGATTAATGTCTTAGACCATGTTAACGATAACGATAATTTTGTAAAATTGAAGTGCTGGAGGAAATATTCGAAGCAAGCTGTTTCAAATCTTGTTGAGAGAAGCCTGGATTTTCCATTCGCGGCCGGTAACTTAGATGAATCTACAGCTGTTCTTAATAACGCTTTGAAAACGTGTACCAATCAACTAGTTGAGCAAAAGTTTGTTTCTTTGAAAAACTCGAACAGCTGGTACAATTTGGATCTTTTGCGTCTTAAACGGAAAAGGGACAAATGGTACAAAAAGTTTTGTAGATCTAATAATGACAATCATTGGACTAGGTACACAATCGCGCGTAATAAGTATTCACAATCGATAAAGAAAACTCGTTGTGAATATGTTCAAAGGAAGATTGATCAGCATCAAAACAACAGCAAAGAGTTATGGAAAATTTTGAAATCTTTATTAAAACCTAGCAATTGCAAACCGCGGTCCATAACTTTTAATGGCACATTAGAACAGTCAGAACAAGTAATTGCATCTAAGTTTAATGATTATTTCGTAGACAGTGTTTCATTGATTAATCAATCTATTGAATTGGTCGATGAACCTGACGAAATAAAACAGCCAGTTAATAGTAGTTGCAGATTTGAAGTTTTTCACCCAATTACATTAGATGAACTTAGAGTTATTTGTTTTTCATTAGGAAAATCGGCTGGAGTAGATAATGTTAATGCTAGAGTTATTCAAGATTGCTTTCATGTCATTGGCCACATCTTTCTGGACCTTATTAATGAATCATTGCAGAATGGACATGTGCCACAAATTTGGAAGGAATCCTTAGTGATTCCTATTCAAAAAGTTGCTGGAACGATTAAAGCCGAAGAGTTTCGTCCCATCAACATGTTGCACACATTAGAGAAAATCTTAGAACTTGTTGTTAAAGGCCAGCTGTTGGAGTATTTGAATAGCAACTCTTTGTTGATACCAGAACAATCGGGATATCGGGAAGGTCATTCTTGTGAAACTGCATTGAATTTGGTGTTAGCAAAGTGGAAAGACAACTTGGAGCGTAAAGATACGATTGTTGCTGTTTTTTTGGATCTGAAACGCGCTTTTGAAACAATTTCTAGGCCCTTACTGTTAAGTACAATCAAGCGCTTTGGAATTACGAGTACTGCATATAAATGGTTTGAAAGCTATTTGTCTGACAGAACTCAACGGACTGTTTTTAATGATTCTGTTTCCAGTCCCGTGGGGAACAACCTTGGAGTGCCCCAGGGAAGTGTATTAGGGCCCCTTTTATTTATTATGTATATTAATGACTTGCGACGTGTTTTACGGTTTTGCGACATTAACCTTTTTGCAGATGATACTGTGTTATTCATTGCAGCTAAGGATTTAGAAGTTGCCGTCTCACACTTGAATGAAGATTTGCAGTATCTAAGTAGATGGTTGAAGTGTAAGCAGTTAAAATTGAATACAAGTAAAACTAAATTTATGGTAATTTCGCGGAATCGATTAAATGAGAACGTCTCTGTT